CTAAATCCTAAAACCTAAATCCTAACCCCCAAAACCTAAACCCTGAATCCCAAACCCTTAACCCTAAATCCTAAACCCTGAAAATCCCAAACCCTTAACCCTACAACCTTCATGGTCTCCCCTTAATGTAACCCCAATATAACCCCAATATATACCCTATTATAATATAGTAGTTTCCATTTTCTTTTCCATTATCCATATATAACCCCAATATAACCCTAAACCCTTAGCCCTTATGAACCCTATAATCCCTGTAGTTTCCATTTTCTTTTCCATTATCCCTAAAAAACCTATTATAATATAGTAGTTTCCATTTTCTTTTCCATTATCCCAATATAATGGTCTCCCCTTGGGGTCTCCTGGCTGGACAGTCGGCCCAGCACTGCTTCGGCCTCCTCAAGCTTCCTGGAGTCTTAGGCTTAGGATTTAGGGTAAAGGGTTCAGATTTAGGGTTTAGGATTTAGGGTTTAGGGTTTAGGGCTTAGGGTTTTAGAGTCTTAGGCTTAGGGTCTAGCGTCTAGGGCTTACCTGGACCCTCCAATGTCTTATTAGGACTAGGATTTAGGGTCTAGGGTTTAGGGCTTAGGGTTTCGGGTTGCGGGCTTAGGATTTAGGGCTAAGGGTTTAGGGTTTAGGGTTTAGGGTTGCGGGTTTAGGATTTAGGGACTAGGGTTTGAGGTTTAGGGTTGGGGGTTTTGGGTTTAGCCGGGTTTAGGGGCAAGGGCTTAGGATCTAGGATTTGAGTTTAGGGTTTATGTGTGCATGTTCTGAAGGCTTTACGTAGGGGACTATATAGGGGACATATAAGGTCTAGGAGGAGATAATATGGGGATGATGTAGGGGATTCGTGGAGGATATATAGGGTTTTTTGAAGGGGTTGTATACGGATTGCATAGTATGGAAGTCAAGTGGAAAATGACAGGGAAACTGCGGGCTTATGTGGACAAATATGGGTGTAGGGTTTGGGATTTGGGGTTTAGGGATTAGGTTTTAATTTTCCGGTCTTTTAATTTTTGGAATTGGGGTGGAGGCGCTTAGTCATCTCTGGCGTCAGGTTTTACATTTTAGGCCTGCAACATTTGGGTTCAGGCTTTGGGGCTTTCGAGCCGGCAAGGGACATGAAAAACCTTTCCCGTCTACTGTGACTCCCTTATCTGATCATGGGAAGAATTTGTACTAGTATCCCTTTTGATGACCCCCCCTAGACCCTGACACCCCTCAAAATACACCTAAGAGCCCAAAAAGCCTCCACACAGACTGCCGCGCTTCGTAAAGGGAACCATATCATATCATATCGCCTTGCATGTTTGTTTGGGGCAAGGTAGCCCCGGCCTTGAAAAGGTATAAGCCAAGCCCCCAGCCACACCCCCCAGCCTTGAACCCAAACCCGAAAGCTCCATGAGACAGCTTCGATTGGCAGACCGAATAAGGATGCACGCTGTACAAGCAACAGCGCTGAAGAGTCAATGATGCAATGACTCAACCCGGCTACCTACAGCTGTCTGAACAACAGCGCAAATGACAAGAACATCAACCATATGGAAGCAGCTGAATTAAGAATCAGGACAGTGAAGACAAGCTCAACGACAGCGATCCATTAAGGCTAAACCCTGCACTGGAGACCCCAAACCGTAAACCTTACAGCCCCAAAACCCTTTTGTAGGTCTTGACCCTAACCCCTGGCCCATAGTCTCCCTTAAGTAGATAGAATATGGGGTATATGGGGACCTTGTTATTATAAAAAAAAAAAAAAGCCATAGCCATATTCTATCTACTTAAGGGTGACTATAGGTTTTGAATCCAAATGAGGTACCTATACCACTACTGTACAAGGAACCTGGGACCGTGACATTGGTTGATAATTCAGAACCTATTGTACTGTGAACTTTGAGTTTTTCGGCAAAGGAGCGTGTCGCAGACGCCTGCGTCCCGGGCGGCCTCAAGCGTGGTCTGGATCCTGGGCAGCGACCGAGAAATTGTTGGTTGTTGGTAGGGAATGAGTTGGGTTGTAGGGTTTAGGGAATGGAAAAGTAGATGAAAATATGATTCTAGGGATTATGTAGTGAAGAATGGATAGGAGATTGAAAACGGAAAATGAGAAGTTACCCTTTAGGGCCGATGGCTTCAGGAACAAAAATTGCCTCGGTTTGAAAAGGGGCTAGTGCAGAGATCCATTCCACAATGCCCGACTGACACTTTGCAAGAGAAAGCTTGGGTTGGGAGCTAAGATTGGGAGTGTGTTGCTTAAAGGCTTTAGCAACTTAGCTGAGCTGCCTGCACCCATGGCCTACAAGAACATAAGAGATATTGGACTAAATCACTAGCATTCTGGCCGCCTGCCAACGGACCCCCCGACGTTCCTGGCCCCAACACCGCTTTTTGGCCAACTTTGGCCCAAAAAGGCAAATTGCGGCTTGGGCCCGACAACCCCCCAGACAATATGGGAACCACATCTTGCCAACCATTATTTTGACAGTAGCTCAGGCAAGAGCATCGACATAAGTGTAGCACGTGTTAAAACAGGATGCTGTGGGGGTGTGGTCTGGGGACCACAGGGGTACAAAAAAAAGAAAGTGTGTATCGGGCCTTATAGACTGGGAAATCAAGTACAGCCGCCAACAGGCTGGGGCTTCAATGCACACCTCGCGCCCAGCAGGCACGGCCATGCTCGAAAATCCCAGCACCAACCAGTCGCCATCCTCACGCATGAGCGCGGCAACATATAGGTGCTTTGTGGCTCAGAAGCGCGGCCGCACGCCTTGTATGTAAGGCTGCTAAGCACGGCCTCGCATCCTAGAGCACCACCCCCAAACCTTAGGCCGCAACTTCGGACCACCCGAAGAAGATTACTTGGGCTCGCCTCCGAAACCGTAGAGCTAAAACCCCAATGCCAATTTCTCTTCCATCCGATTCTCCAATACTGGTTCCCCTACCTAGCCCAACACCCCCCAGCCCTAAACCTTAACCCCTACAATCTCACCTAGGCAGCAAGCCCCAAACCCAAAATCTCCAAACCCCTAAATCCAAAACCCCTATCACCCTCCCTAACCTCTAAACCCCGAACCCTAGACCATGAACACCCAAACCCTAACCCCCAAGACCCATTGATCCTCATATAAGCCCCATATAAGCCCTAAAGAACCCCAGGTGATGCAACCCCAGATAACCCTAAGCCCTAAAGCCTAAAGTTCCCTAAATCCTAAACCCCTAAACCCTAAACCCTAAATCTTAAACCCCAAAGGCCGCACAAGCCCAGCCAGGTCACTCCGCCACACTCTCCGCCCGCTGCAGTGCAGAGCCCAGGGCGGCGGCCGCTGAAAGCTCCTCCAACCATCTAGGGCTTAGGGTTTTGGGTTTAGGGTTTAGGGTTTGGGGTTTAAGGTTTAGGGTTTAGGGTTTAGGGTTTAGGGTTTAAGGTTTAGGGTTTAGGGTTTAGGGATTAAGGTTTAAGGTCTAGGGTTTAGGGTCTAGGGATTAAGGTTTAGGGTTTAGGGTCCCCCTTAAGGATAACGGAAAAGAAAGTGGAAACAACTATTTAGGGTTTAGGGTTTAGGGTTTAGGGTCCCCCTTTAGGATAGTGGAAAAGAAAATGGAAA